TTCACCAAAATTTTATTTAAAAATGTCATTTTGAAGCTAAAAAGTAGGAAGGCAGAGTTTCAAAATTAAATGAAATATTTTTAGCTTTAGGAAAACTCGTTCTTCAGAATTAAAATTAAATTAAATACTTTCAACTTCAGGGAAAACTCATCGTCTTTATTTCGTTTAGGTCTAAGGTGGCCAGTCATGCCAGTTTACCTGGGACTGAAGGATTTCTTGGGATGTGGGATTTTCAGTGGTAAAACCAGGACAGTTCCAGGAAAATGAGGTTGAGATAGTCACCCTACTTAGGACTAGCATCATTCATGAATAGCAAGTTAAGAATAACTGTCACCATAATTTTCCAATGTCCTCTCTCTAGGACTCAAACAATATAAAATTAAAAGTGACCATGGAATTAAGAGAGAGAAAGCCTGTACACTTTGAATATAAATCTTTCTGAATAATAGACTTGACCTTTGCAGTTAACGAAGAGATCTCAGAGACTCAATTGCTCAATAGTTTCTGAGCACAAAAGGAGCCCCAGCCCAGGTTTTCCTGTGGCTAGATAGAGTGGAGGAGCCCTGGTGGCATAGTACTTAAGTGCTCAGATGCTAACTGAAAGGTTGGAGGTTTGAACCCACCAGCTGCTCCACAGGAGAGATGTGGCAGTCTGCTTCCATAAAGATTATAGTCTTGAAGCCCTATGGGGCAGTTCTACTCTGTCCTATAAAAACCAAAACCAAACCCATTGCCGTCGAGTCAATTCTGACTCATAGCGATCCTGTAGAACAGAGTAGAACTGCCCCATAGAGTTTCCAAGGAGTACCTGGTGGATTTGAACTGCTGACCTTTGGTTAGCCGACTTAGCTTTTAACCACTATGCCACCAGGATTTCCACTCTGTCCTATAGGGTCACTATAAGTGCTACTCTATGGCAACAGGTTTTTTGTTTGTTTGTTTGTTTTTTGTTTTTTGATAGGTGGCAGTGGAGCAGGTGGAGTCTGTGCACATGTGTGTTGGACAAAGAAGTGCATTCAGTCAAATGCTTTCAGTTCCGTTGCCTGCAATGAAGTAACCGCCCTTCACAACAGCCCTTTAAAGGAACCCAAATTCATTCCCAGGAACTGGCCAAGTCTCTTTGCATTGACATACATAAAGATCACAAATAGTGCTATGCTTCATTCTATCTCAATTTATCTTGAATATTTCACGTATGCAGAATCTTAGTTTCCTTTTTCTGCAATGTTCAGTCACACAACCAACCACACAGGATTTCAGGAACCAAGAACTCACCCCAGCACTCCTGCTGAGCAAGTGGTCCAGTAACTAGGCATTGATAGGACTACAATTAAACCTCTCTTTTTAGATGTTACATTGTCTTTCATCCTTCCGTTTCTCCATTTGCTAAATGGGTCACATGCCTGTTTCTGAGAGTGGTTGTTCAAGATGCAGTGAGTATGGCCAGAAAGTTGTAATAACCTGGATAGAAGCATGAGGTCTGTTCTGAATTTGCTGTCCTTACTAAAGCCTAATATTTGCTAATCTGTAGAGACATGGTCATCATTCTGACACAGCCGCCTGGGTAGAGGTCACCTCATCCTATATGAGGCAGGAAACCCACCTAAACCATACATGTCCAATGGTTGGGGAGTTGACAACTTTTCTCAGTAGCTTAACAACTTTCATTGTCAATAAGTCATTTGTTTTGTCACTTTATAAACCTTTCCTGCTGCAACTTAAGGCCAATTCCTTTCGTAGGGTCCTCAGAGGGAAGGGAGAACAGCTGCCCACTGTCCTTCAGATGAGGGCCCTTCATCAACTCAGATTGCTGGTAGGTTACTTTTAGCCTTTTTTTCCTCCAAAGTAAGCACTGGCTCTCTCCTGTGGTGTTTTATTGCCAAATCTTTAATCATTTGCTCACACTTTCTCACCCTCCTGTGTACCTACTCATATGTAGGCACTTACTTAGTATCAATGAAAATGGAAACATTGCTCTTACTGCTCTTGGGGGAAAAAAAACTTCCTCTACCTCACCTCCTACCCAGTCCCCACAGAAAAAGACTCAAATCTTTTGCTCCCTCTGAGCTTATCTTACAAATTCTAAGTTAAGAAATGCACATCTTAAGAAGGATAACGGTGGAGGCAAAGCAGCCAGCGACTCTCTGACTTTCAGCTGCTGAAGAAAACTTGGCTGTAGGACTGCTAGTTTAGGACTGGTCCATGAGGAGAGTGGCACATATGAGAGGTGGAGGAACAGCTTTGTTGACACTGGTATGGACAAGCATGTGAATAGGTCTCTTTCTTCATGCCCCCAGGCATTATACATTACCTACCTGACAACCCTGTTATAAATATATCTCACTCAGTGTTGAGACTTCCCTAGGAAATGAACAAGATGTGCAGCCTTGGTGGCGCAATGGTTAAGCATTTGGCTGTTAACCGAAAGGTTTGCAGTTTGAACCCACCAAGTGTCTCTGCAAAAGAAAGAAATGGTGATTTGTTACCATAAAGATTACAGCCAAGAAAACCCTATGGGGCAGTTCTACTCTGTCACATGGGGTCCCTATGAGTCGAAATCGACTCCATGGCACATGACAACAACAACAAATAGAGTCCTGGTCCAGAGAAATGTCTTTCCTCAATGTTACTCCTTTTATCAAGTTGGGTATATAAATAGCTTGACCATTCTAGATCTTTCTGCTTCAGACACAGACTCAAAAAAAAAAAAAATCTATTATCACCTGCCAAATACTTCTCTCCTCATTTTCTGCTACCTCTGTCCTTCAGAGGAGCCCTGGTGGCACATTGGTTAAGAGCTACAGCTGCTAATCAAAAGGTTGGCAATTCGAATCCACCAGCTACTCCTTGGAAACCCTATGGGGAAGTTCTACTCTATCCTATAGGGTTGTTATGAGTCGGAATCGAACGGACAGCAATAGGTTTTATCTAAGTAACTCTAAGAAGATCTACCTCACTTTTTGACCTAAGTCTTTTCTTTCAAAGTCCTCAGATTTCATGCTTACTGAACCTCTTTCTAAGCCTTCTCCTTCCTTCCCACCTCTTCTACTCTGGGGTAGAAAGACTAGCAAAACTAGCTGTGTTTGGTTTGTTTATTTATTTGCATCTGTCCATCCTGAAATGGAGATGGTCACAGCAAGAAAGGCATTAACAGGCAGAAAGCCAGAGAATAAGGGGAGAGAGGAAGACAAACCAAGCAGTCCACAACCTAGAAGGTCAACTCTAAATAATACAGTTGGCTATGCTAAGGTAGAGAGAGCTCGTAGAAAAAGCCTCCACATCAAGTCCTGGGCTATCTCCTTTCTCCAGAGTTTGAGGTTGGAAAGGTGGGAACTGGAATGAGTTTCCCAAATTTCATATGAGCTTCTGCCTCCCCTGCAAAAAATCCTTCTCATGGAGTTTCCCATCTGTCTCCTGCTTTGGAAAGTGGGTGCCAACTGGAAATCTTCATGCGAGTTCCTACTCTGGCTGGACAGGTGACACCACCTTCAGTGACCAATTGGTTGACTAGGAGTCCTATCTCACACCCTCAATCAGTTAGAAACTATCCTTACCAGCCTGCCCTGGCAGGACACTGTTGGGTCTTATCAATGATGGACTAACTGCTAAAGCATCCTCCCAAACTCTTAGGTTCATAGCCAAGCCCTGCAATTGTTGTCCAATATTTCCTCTACCGGTGTTCTCAGCTGGGAATAAAATGCCACCTCAGCTGACCACCTACATCTAATGAATGTGGTCAGTGTGAGGAAAAGTGGACTGAATGCTTCTTAGCCACTTCAGAGGAGTTGAGAGGCAGCATGGTATATTAACAGTGTGTCTCAAAATGGGAGCCCCAATCCCCTTGCTTCAGAATCACCTTCAGTGCTTGTTTAAAATGCAGAATGTGACACTCCGCCCAGATTCACTGAATTAGAATTTATGGGAATTTGCACATTAAAAATTCCCCAGTTGATTCTGATGAGAACTAATGTTGGAGAAATACAGTTGTAGTGGAAAAGAGTCCAGATTCTTGAGGCAGATCTATGATGGAGTCCTGAGATCTGGCCTTTACATGCTATGTGAATTCAAGAAGATTACTTACAACCTCCACATTTCAGTTTTATCTGTAAAACAGAGATGTAAAGTTTAAAATAGAGTTGTAAAGATTAAGTGAAATAGCATCTGTGGTATGCCTAGCACCAGGATAAGTATTAATTCTCCCTCTTCTACTAGAGAAGACCCCATTCTTCCAGAAGTAATAGATACTTTCCCTAAGAAGTAGAACATCACTCCTCTCCCTTCTACTCTCTCCCCAATCACAAGCTCTATCCGTGATTTCATCTCACCCCTAGGCTTCTTTCTGCTTTCAGTTTCCCACAACAAAATGGAACCACTTGGTCCAGTGGTCCAGTGTTCTTTTCAAGAACGGATTTATACTTTAACTATTTCAGGATCTTCTGGGAATCAAAGTGCTTGGTGCATAGTAGGAACTCATAAATATTTATTGAATGAATGCAAATGTTTATTTCCAGCTCAACTGGCCTAAACATCTGCATTTCAGTTTAACCCCACCACCCCATTTCAGTCCCATAACCCCAATTTAGGCAAGTCTAAGAGATCAACTTACCACCTTAAAAATCAGAATCGAATCCACTTTTACTTCTATAGACAGGTCAGACCAAAATCCCTCCCTCTACTCCCAGAGACATGCACTTCCTCTCCAAGTGTTACTGACTCCCCTGGAGAAACCAACTGGCACTTAACCCTTAGCTCCTCAAATCATGGCAATATGAAATGCGAACCTAGCCCTGACTCCTCTCAGCCTCTGTGCAAACAACAGACTATGAGGAAGGAAAAATGCACCAGGTTGCCCTTGGGAAGAAAACAGCTTCTCGGAGCTTTGAGATGAAAGGACAGGAAGCCTGAGCAAGGAAAAGGAGAAGGGGGGCTGAGCAAGGGGAGACCAAAGCAGTTTCTCATCCAGCTGTTTCAATTGCATTTGACCCAAGTTGCAAATTTACCTTCCGACCACGAAGGCTGACCGACTTGTTCCCTCTCTTGGGGCTCAGATCTGAGAAACAACTTCCCACAGCTTGTCAGACAGGATGGGAATCCCAGCTGCTCTTTGCAGTGATGCCTGAAAACCTTGCTTTACCTTTGGGAGAGAGGGGCGGAGTCCAACCTTATGGGAATTAACTCCAAACACGCTGGAGGCTTCAAACCCAGCCTGAGATTTGCAGGCACTTGGAGTAGAAAGTAATTCGCAGGCACAGAGTGCTCCACCTCCGACCTTACAGCTGCCAAGTCTGCTCTGTGTGTGTGTGTGTGTGTGTGTGTGTGTGTGTGTAGAGGCATGCCCACACTTGAACTGCATATCTATCTCACTACCACACTCTCCATTATATATATTAGATAGCAGGTCTATGTGGCTGGAAAGGACACAGAAAAACACATGCACGAATGGAATCACCTGTTTTCCCCCAACTGCTTTCCAATGACTGATGGGGAAGATGCTCCAACAGAGCAGTCTTTGGCTCCAAGATGTAATAAGCTTACATTTAAGAAACCATTGAAATCACCTATTGAAAAGGTTAAATAACAGTACTACTGTTTAGTATATAACAGTACTACTAAAAGTCAGCCTCTAACTTAGTCCAAAGCACCAATAATTGCTTTTATGCTTGGGACAAAAGGTGAGAGATCTGAAAGTTAATGGAGCTTTGCCTGAAGCTCTGCTCCAATCTGATGTCATCTCTCCCGTCTCTGAATGTCCCTGGTACTCCATATTTATTTTGAGAAACTTATCATCTTCTAACTTGTATTAGTCTTTTCTGTACGTGTCTCATTTCTCATCCTAGATGCCTTGTAAGCAGGGAACTTTGGAAGGAGGTATGATGACTAGCTTAATTGAATAAAGCATACTGGAACAATCCAAAGTACTTCTGCTTCTATAATGACCCAGTTGCCTTCCCAGAATGGTATAAAAGTTACCAGGCTTGCCCCTAGCATTTTGCGGCAATGATTCAAAATATGAGAGCAAATGAACTAGCAGTTTAACACATTTACTGTACCTTGATTATTTAATTAAGTTGCTAAAGTTTTTCCTGCCTGCTGTGGGTGTAAGTGTACATCCTGTTTTTTTTTTTTAATCAATGATATAGCCTTATATTCATGCATGCATTTGGCTGTCTAGATACTTTCCCTCAGCAGTTTTTAACCTTTTTTTCTGCTCTAATACATGAATAAAACACATTCCCATCTGTAATAATGGCTTACTAAGGCAGTTTCTGGGGGAGGGCGAGATGACCCCCCTAGGTGGAATATCAGACTTTTGGAAGCATAAACTTCCCAGATAATTTTTATAATATCCCAGTTGGTGACCCCTTAAGTATCACTGCTTCAGATAGAGGGATACATAAACAGAAATGCTCGACTTTCCTTCATTTTTTTTTATTGTACTTCAGGTGAAGGCTTACAGAACAAATAGTTTCTCATGAAACAGTAGTACACATGTTGTTTTATGACATTGGTTAACA